GATGGAGTCTTTCAGGGAATATTTGTGAGTAGGTGGTTTCCAGGCTCATTAACCTGGAAATGATGTCCCTCTCACCATCCTCACCTGGAACCTAGGATTCCTTTTCTAAATGTTTGCTTGACTCTTTACTTTTTGTTAATTCTCTTTTTTTTCTTTAGACTGCGTCTTGCTTTGTCACCCAGGTGGGAGTGCAGTGGTGTGATCTCAGCTCACTGCAACTTCCTCCTCCTGGATTCAAGCAATTCTCCTGCCTCAGCCTCCCGAGTAGCTGGGATTACAGGCACCCACCACTATGCTTGGCTAATTTTTGTATTTTTAGTAGAAACGGGGTGTCACCATGTTGGGCAGGCTGGGGTCTTGAACTCCTGACCTCAGGTGATCCACCCGCCTTGGCCTCCCAAAGTGCTGGGATTATAGGTGTGAGCCACCACGCCCAGCTAATTTTTAAATTTTTTGTAGAGACGCTGTGTTACCATGTTGCCCAGGTTAGTCTCAAACTCCTGGGCTCAAGCAATCCTCCCACCTTGACTTCCCAAAGTGCTAGGATTATAGAATGAGCCACTGTGCCCACCCGAGTCTTTAAATTTTTAAAATACAAAGTGATTTGGGAAAGAGAAATATCTATTCTCCATCTTGGATAGAGTTTTTCCTCACGTGGTTTGTGTGTTACCCTCTTCAGACTTTACTGGAGAGATTCCCAGCCCTAACTCTGACCTACTACACCAAAATCTTCCAGCAAGGCTCAGGAATCTGTATTCTAACAATGTTCCCAGATGATTTTTATGTGTGTGTAAGTTTGGAAACCACTGACCGAAAGGATAATTTTTAAAAGTAAAGCAACAGCATCATTTGGATTATGGATTATTTCCTATTACAGATCACACACCAGAACTTCAAGGAATATCAGGTAAAAACCTAATTATAAGACCAAATATAATTTTAGGAGACTAATAATTAACAACTCTATTGACAAGACTGCATGTCCTTTTGTTGTAAATTATACGTGTGAAATGTCTCAAGGTATACATGTGAAACATCTCAAAGAAATCTTTGGTGGATGTTGTTTAATCCTGACTTGCCTTCCATAAAATTAACCAGTTATTGCCCAAAGTTTTTACTATCCACACATGAGTCTCCAGTAACCCCTAAGGCAGTCTCTGAACAAGCCTAATTTCCTGTATAAAAGAAAACTGGCTTAAAATGAACTGAGTTTGGGCCACTCACCCCTGTAATCCCAGCACTTTGGGAGGCCGAAGTGGGAGGATCACAAGGTCAAGAGATGGAGACCATCCTGGCCAACATGGTGAAACCCTGTCTCTACCAAAAATACAAAAACTAGCCGAGCGTGGTGGCATGCGCATGTAGTCCCAGCCACTCGGGAGGCTAAGGCAGGAGAACTGCTTGAAGCTGGGAGGCAGAGATCGCAGTGAGTCAAGATCACGCCACTGCACTCCAGCCTGGTGACAGAGCGAGATTCCGTCTCAAAAAAAAAAGAAATGAACTGAGTTTGGTTAACTGTACAAAACTTAGGCTGATTAAACTTAAACTGGTTATCTGTAGGGCCGTGGGGCCCTGCAGGGTCGTGGGGTGTCCTTTATGCTGTGCTGAGGTGCAGGATCCGAGAAGCAGAGACAGGACACTGAAGAACTGGTGAAGAGTATCTGGACTCGGGGGGCCATGCCACCTGTAAGTGGAGGTCGGCGAGACTCCCAAATGCCCAGAAGCATCTGTATTTATTAGGTACAAGCAGGGGGCAGGGTCATGAGTGAGATCATCATCTATAGGCTTAGTAATAGGGCATACATAATCATGTGAGTCACAAGCAAGGGGGCTACCCCATTATGTCACTTGGGCAGAGGTGGGCCATGCGCAGTAGGGGGCATGCTGTGTGCAGTAGTAGAGGGTGGTGTACAGAAAAGGGGTCCACCCCCATTAGGTCACCGAGGCAAAGAGGTGGGCAGTGTGCAATAGGTGTCGTGGGCAACACTTCTTATCTGGGGGCTGGAGACTTCAAAGGATTTCTAATAGAAGGATGTTGTAAGCCAATGCAGTGGGAGCTGACAGACTTGCGCTCTTCTCTTAAGATATTTATGGGAGAATATTTGAGCTAGCACAGAATTGAGAAAAGACTGACAGGGTGTACAGTCACCGTGACCGGTCACACCAGAGGGGTTCTTCTCCCTCGGTTATTTCCAGGATCTCAGGCCTGAGGCCTACTTTCCACAGGAAATGGATGCAAGGTACTACAACTTCTTTATCAGGAGCAGAGGCTCTTGCTCCAAGCCTGCCATACAGCGTATGCCCTTTCAGGCAGGGACGCCACCACCTGGGTCTTTGGTTCTTGTCCTGGTCTAGCTGTTTTCCCATGTACTGCTTCTGTTCTGTGACTGCTCTAGGCATTCCTCCTACTACAAACCACTATATGGTTATATGGAAGGATTTTATAAATCAGCATTAAATGTGTCAGTACAGCTCTGACTATAATACCTATATGATGATTATATAGAAAGATTATATAGAACTAAGTATGCTAGATATAAGTATTAAGTATGATTATATAAGCTGGATATATGTAAGCTGTAAGTTATACTGCAGGTATTCTATAAACTAATATAAGATCATATTTAAAGGATTATATAAAGGAAATAGCTGAGTAATAACACTGTAAACTAAGATATTCTTTAGACACTAATTGTGTGTGGGGTCTGGACAGTTCTCCTTCCTCTGTGCCCCTGGGGGGTGTTACCCACAGTTATCAAAAAGGACTGTGAATTCTGCAGCTTTGGAGATGTTTTAACCTAGGAAATACAACCAAATTTTTGGATGAGCAGGGTATACAGTGACCTAACGCTAGAGAATCCAAATAGAAGGTTAAAACTGGATTCTAGTCCAAATAGGTTAAAACTAGATTTGACTAAACCTACCTCTCCATCCAATTGAATGTGAACCTGCTTTTTTTTGTTATTTTATAACCAGAATTCCTTGCCATTCTGCGATAATGTAATGGCCTCCTGAGAATCCTTTATAGAAACACAGTTTATATGTGCATAACATACTAAAAAGGAAACCATTTAACTTGATAATACCACACCCAGATAATTCAGATACCTAATAAAATTTTTCATTGGAATTATTTGGTTTGGCCAAGTTAATTGGGTAACAAGTACTTTTCTTTTTTTTTTTTTTTTTTTTTTGAGATGGAGTCTTGCTCTGTTGCCCAGGCTGGAGTGCAGTGTTGTAATCTCAGCTCACTGCAACCTCTGCCTCCCAGGTTGAAGCAATTCTCCTGCCTCAGCCACCAGAGTAGCTGAGACTACAGGTGCATCACCATGTCTGGCTAATTTTTGTATTTTTAGTAGAGACGGGGTTTTGCCATGTTAGCCAGGCTGGTCTCAAACTCCTGACCTCAGGTGATCCACCCACCATGGCCTCACAAAATGCTGGGATTACAGGCCTGAGCCTCAGTGCCCCAACTTTTTTTTTTTCTTATACTTTGTTTACACCCTTCATTTACTCCTGATTCTTATCAGTTGTCACTACCTTTGTTTTCCTTCATTCAAAATCTCACTCAGTTCAGTCAGGAAGGTCAGTTACCTTGAAAACCTTCCTTCTTTAGAGCTGGGGTGCATGGTGTTCTTGCTGGTAGAGTAGAAATGAGGTATCAAGGAAAAAGAACCTATAATACAACTGGGAACCCTTAACTCATGGTAAGAACTGACTCCAAACCAACTTCCTCAAAAACTAAAGAACTCTTCCAGAGAGCGACTGGTTGATAAACAATCTAAGGGGAGAGCTTTTAAAGACTGTAACAATAAAAATAATTCTGTAAAACTACAATGCAAGTCTACCCGACAAAACTAAAAATATAATTTTATCTTTCCTTAGAGAGACCATAGGAAAATCTACTATCTTCCTTTAAAACATATAACTTCTATTTGTTACTATATTTGGATTTGTGCTACTACTATTCTAGATTTGTTCCCATGTATCTGTGGAACCAGGCCCCTAATAATCTTTACTCAGCAACTCTGCTATTTCTTGAATGAAAATGGAATGGATTCGTGCAATTAATGGCTAGATGTTTAGAAGACACTAGCTATTTTGCTATTTTCTGTGTATGCTGATGAAAGCCTGCAAATTTACAGAGACATAAATGAGCCAGGCTGAAAGATTGGGAAAGATGAAGAGGAAAGAGGAAAGGATGGGCTTGTAGCCCTCATCCGGTCAAATTCTCAATTCAGAGCTTCACTTTATTGTCAAATTAGAGGCTAAACCTATTTAAAGCCTCTTCCAAAACTTTTTGATGAAACAGAAATGCCAATCAGTTACCAACATAATTAACAGTGTATCCTGATTTTTAAAAGATGTTTCCCTTTGTGATTTGTTGGAGTGGCAGCGTCAGTCCTGAAGGACTGACCTTGAGAGGCCAGGTAGGAACTGATAGATTGGCAACTAAGTCATATGTTTTCAACGGAATATACCGACATAAGTATCCAAAAAAATAATTTCGAGCCTACTGTTCACAAGTTTGCCAGAAAGCCCTGTTATTGAGACAACTTCGGATCTCAGATACATAAGTTGGTCAGCACCATCCTGCTAGAGGGGATTAAGACTGGATGCTTCGAGCGGCGTTGGGAAGGTTACCAGCTGAGGAAACTACAAGGCGCCAGCAGTAGGGTTTTCAGGGTCTCTGCCGAAAAAGTCAACCCGCTCCAAATTCCCCGGTGTGGCCCTCAGTCGAGGCTCCGGTTCCCTGCGCCGTAAAGCTGGGCAAGAGACGGTCCCCTACGATTTAGATACAAAAGCACACGTGCAGGGAAGGCCATCCCAGGGCAGACACCACCACCTCCGCCGCTTCCGACGCCCGCGTTCGCGGGAGAGACTCGCGCCGCACGGGAACCTCCGAACCTACGCCGCAGCGCCGATGGGCGTCCCCGCGAGCCAATGGACGCGCCGAGAGGCGGGGCAGGGAGGCCGAGGGGGCGGGATTTCCCGCACGGCCGCTCGGCGCCTGGAGAAGGCAGTGCTGGCGGGTACAGCGGCCGCGATTGCCTGAGAGGGCGGGCCGGGGTCAGCTGCTGCGGGCTGGCTGGCGCGGGGAGCTGTGGGCGGCCGCTGTGTCTCCTGCCGCCGCCCTCCCTCTGCCACGATGCCGGGGATAGACAAGCTGCCCATCGAGGAGACGCTGGAGGACAGCCCGCAGGTGAGCCGCGGGCGCTGGTGGGCGACGAGGGAGAGCCGGGCTGGCCGACCCCAGGCCTGGCGCCTGCGCCGCTCCCGCAGGTGCCCGCCTCGGCCCAGGTGGGCGCCGCCGCCGCCGCCGCCGCCCAGGGCCCCCGCCCGTCGCAGGCCGCACCCCGAGCTGTCGAGGCTGGGCCCGCCGCCCGAGGCCCGCGTGGGCCTGCTCCGCTGGGCCGAGGGCCGCGGGCGGAGACCTAGCCGCTGGTGCTCGTGGGCCGGGCGGTCACGTACGCGCGCAGGTCTGCTTTTTATTTGACGAAAGGCGCCGTTTTTATCGCCGTGATGTGAGGTGCTAAATCTCGATCCTGGAATTTTCTCCCGGAGAAATGCAGAAGGGAGAGAAACCCTGGTAGCCTTATTTAATGATTTCCAAGGCTCAGCAAGCTAGGGAAGGAAATTGATAGTTTTTCTTCGGGAGAGGCTGAACGGCTGTGTGTGGATACTTAACGGCAAAGCATGTAACGGGTTCTGGAGCCCAAGACCGCTCTCCCCCGCCGAGTGTGCCCGTGTCGCGGCCGTGACTGTGGTTGCTGTCACGCGAGCTGTACACGGCGAGTGATGGAAGGTGCCTTCGATCCTCGACTGCTGCACCGCTCCCTGCAGACTTGGCCTTAATAAACTCATCAAAATAAAAGCCCTGTGTCGGAATGATGCTGGTGTGGTTGCTCTAGCTTAAGACAGTTTTGGAAAATGTAACTATTTGATATTTTTTCAGTACTGAAGAATGAAATCAGCTATACTTTTTAAAATGTTGGCAGGGGATGTAACTTGCATAGGGAAAACTTCATTTTTAAGCCTGTCTTTTTACACGATAATTTAAACGGTTTAACACAGCGTTGCTGGTCCGACACCATTTAGAATGAAACATTTCTGAATTATTGCTCATTTAGAAATGCAGTTGCTCCTACTTCATGTGTCTTTACAGTTGAACATGGCCTCCAAAGAAGAAAAGCAGAAGAGGTCTAGATTTCCCTTTCCTGGTTGGCACTTCTGCCTTGGATTTTGTGCTAGTGTTAATTGCCAAGTTGAAATGGAGCTCTGATTGTAGAATTGATTTGTTCCTTTTCATTCTGAAAGTTATCTTCACAGGCCAGTTGCCTGCTGCTAATGTACTCTTATCAGCCTATACTGACAAAAAGAGACACTCACATTTGGTTTATCTTGATTGCCAGTAGACCCAGTTCAATTTTTTCTTGATGATTTCTCCATATAAAGTTATAAACTATATTTGTTTCAGATGATTGGCAGAAAGCTTGTGGAATTGGTCAGGTGAACTTTGTCGTTTTACTTTTTATTATGTGAGATTCAACAGGTTGCCTTACTTCTCTTACCTGGCTTTTTTTTTTTTTTTTTTTAGTAGCCCATAAAGACTATAAATGGCTCAGAATGGATTGCGCATTGCCCTAGATATGACTTGTGAGGCAGAGACAAACTCTTGACTCATCTGATTTCTTGAGCTTTTTACACAGATTAGTTTACAACTTAAGAATTTTTTTTTTTTTTTTTTCAAGCGTGCATCATACTAGTGTCAGTTTTACAGTATATTTGTTTGTTTTTTTGGGATAGGGGTCTTGCTATGTTAACTAGGCTGGAGAGCAATGGCTGTTCACAGACATTATCATAGTGCACTACACCCTGGAACCCCTGTGCTTAATCAGTTCTCCTGCCTCAGCCTCCCTAGCAGCTGGAACTACAGGCATGCGACCCTGTGACAGCTAATTTTTAATGAAGTAGCCACATTGATATTCCTTCAGTGTTTAAAGACAGTAAGTTTGAACTAGGTAAAATACTTGGGAAACTTAATTGGGACAACTGGGATTTAGAAAGTGTAGATACTTGCAGGTGATTCTTAGGTTGAACCTGTGGCAGAATGAAAAGCCTTGGATTTAGGATTGAGGTAGTTTTTAGTCATCACTGCCGCTTATTACCTTCTGCATTAGGACAAATCACTCAACTTCTCTGAGCCTTAGCTGTTGTGCCTTAATGGCGTGTTTTTATTTTTGACCCTGATTATGAAAAATAATAGTTGCTTGTTTCAGAAAAATTGGAAGGTTCAGAAAAGAGTACACACACAATTACCTGTCGGGTACTCAGCAAAACCCTATTAACAGTTTGCTTTCTTTATTCTACTGTTTTTTTCTTCTACATGTTTTAATGGAATTGAGATTATATTGTACATAATGATCTTTTTCCTGCTTTTAGCTTAACATTATAGCTTAAGTATCTTCATATGCTTTTACATTCCAAATAAAAAATTGTGAAGACTACACATTTCCTTAACTGATTTCACAACCCATTGCTGGACTTTTAGGGTTTCCCCAACATTTGGATTTTATAAATAGGGCTGAGATTAATGCGTTGGGCCATAAATTTTCTTCTCAGTTTGAACTATTTTATCTACAATAGAGTCCAAGAAGTAGAGCAGCAAAGAATATGAAGACTTTAAAAAACTGTAAGTTTTTGGGTTTTTTTTGAGACAGAGTCTCACTCTGTTGCCTAGGTTAGATTGCAGTGGTGCAGCCATGGATCAGCAACCTCAGGCTTCTGGGCACACCCCACTAAGCTCAGCTAATTTTATTTTATTTACTTTATTTTATTTTGAAGATGGAGTTTTTCTCTTGTAGTCCAGGCTGGAGTGCAGTGGTGCGATCTTGGCTCACTGCAACCTCTGTCTCCTGGGTTCAAGTGGTTCTCCTGTCTCAGCCTCCCAAGTAGCCCAACTAAAGAATGTTTTGTAGAGACAGGGTCTCACTATGTTTGCCAGGCAAGTCTTGAACTCCTGGCCTCAAGGGTTCCTCCCACCTCAGAGTCTCAAAGTGCTGGGATTACAGTTGCGAGCCACTGTACCAGGCCCAAAAGTTTTTTATTTGATCAGTTTTTAATTTTTTTGGATTATTTAGATCTAATCAGAAGAGGCCTGCCAGTTGTTACATAAAAAAGTTAGAGCCTTGGCCAGCCCCAGTGGGTCATGCTTGTGAACACTTGAGGGTGGGAGTTCAAGACCAGCCTGGGAAATATAGCAAGACCTCATCTCTACAAAAAATAAAATTAGCTGGGCGTGGTGATAGGAGCCTGTGATTCCAGCTATTGAGGAGGCCAAGGTAGGAGGATCGATTGAGCCCAGGAGTCCATGGCTGCAGTGAGCTGTGAGCACACTGTTGCACTCCAGCTTGGGTAATAGAATGAGGCTTTGCCTCAAGAAAAGAAAAAAAAAAAAGAAGAGCCTAGGAGTGATGGAAGACTATACTGAATTACAGTTATCTATTTTTTAGTTTTGATTTATAGTGACTAGTTACTAAATTAGGGAGAATTTGCAAGTCCAAAATCCAGCTGATCAAGCATCTTTTAAGGATACTGCCTGGAACCTGGGGGGGAAAAAGCATCTTTGGAATTACCTTGCCCAAACCACACAATTCTGCAAAAGATGATCCATTGAGCCAGAAAATCTTAAGCTTATACTAAATGCCTTGTCCATATTTATGTTGTTTTGAAAATTAAAATCAAAATAAACCTTGTTAATTACTAAAAATAGATGTTTAAAAAAATAATTGGTTTTATGTATAGATGTATATCTTAATGATTCATCTATGACAGAACAGTGAAGACAAACCCCATTCCCAAAGGGAATCTTCTTCCTTTGCATAATATGAAATACTCATAGATTATGAGATGTGTCTCCCTAACATTTTAGTGTTTCTGATTGGGATTCTTATAGTTGATGGTATATTAACAATTGCTGTCAGCCAGGTAGCAGTAGAATGTATTTCGCATTGCCTGCCAATGTACATACTTGGTTATTTCTCCTGGTAGCATGCTGGCCAAGTGTAGACTCTCAGTGTTACACTAACAAATCAATTTTACCACCATTTGCGGAAAGAATATCAGTCCTGGTTGTTGTCTGAAAACCTTTCTTTGACACCTGGTGAGATGTCAAGTGACATCACCAAAACTTGCTGAATGAGTGTTTAGGGACAAAAATGGAGCACGTCTAAGAAATACTTATCTCCTCATGTCACAGAGAATAATAATGTATAGGAAAACATGGGTATTGATGACTCATGAGTCAAATAAGATTTGAACTCTGTGAAGTTTTAGAAATAAATGTGTGGTGCATATTTCTTATGTTCACATGAGAGCTGTATATGATAAAATTCTGTGTGAAGGTATGTTTCCATAAATATAAGGTAAATAATTCAAGACATGAGAAAACCTTAAATTACAGCTTAATTGCCAGCATTATTTTATTTGAGTACTACAAAAATAAAAATGATGCATCTTACAATGGATGCCATCATAGATTAAATGACATGGTACCATATTGATTCTATATTTCTAAGCTGCTAACTTTAAATAGTAATTATCCAATGTTGAACTTGATATTGTTAACTTAAAATAGGGAATCTGTTTCAACCTTGTTTGAGCTAAGAGGAGCTTTTAAATTTAATTCTGCTACAAGTTTTTACATAAATATGTAACTCCTTGAATTGGAATTACCCATTTTTAAAAAAATAAATAAATAAAATGGCAGATTTTTCTTAAGAATGTCAGTAGCCAAACAAGATTTCCTGATACTTTCTTTTTTACATCTTAAAATAGCACAGTGGGGAATTGTAGTGGAGTATTTGAAAAAGATTCTGTTAAATCCAAATCTCTGAGGCCTGGGAAGTAGAGGACAGAAAATAGGGACTTACTGGCATAATGACCTTGTGTCTTTTCCTCTACTTTATGCCATGTTAACTTAGCTTTCTCCTCTCAAAATAGGAAGCTAAGGAATAAGTTGATTTTTTTTTTTTTTTTTTTTTTTTTTTTAAAAAAAAGGACCTGGCGCAGTGGCTCACACCTGTAATCCCAGCACTTTGGGAGGCCGAGGCGGGTGGATCACCTGAGGTCGGGAGCTTGAGACCAGCCTGACCAACATGGAGAAACTCCTTCTCTATTAAAAACACAAAATTAGCCGGGTGTGGTAGCACATGCATGTAATCCCATCTGCTTGGGAGGCTGAGGCAGGAGAATTGCTTGAATCTGCAAGGCAGAGGTTGAGGGGAGCCAAGATTGTGCCACTGCACTCCAGCCTTGGCAACAAGAGTGAGACTCCATCTAAAAAAAAAAAAAAAAAAAAAAAATTCTGGCCATGTGCAGTGGCTCACACCTGACCTGTAATCCCGGCACTTTGGGAGGCCAAGGTAGGAGGACTGCTTGAGCCCAGGAGTTTGAGACCAGACTGGGCAACATAGTGAGACCCTGTCGCTACAAAAAATAGAGAAAAAGTAGCCAGACATGGTGGCACATGTCTGTAGTTCCAGCTACCTGGAAGGCTGAAGCGGGAGGATTGTTTGAACCTGGAAGGTCAAGGCTGCAGTGAGCCGAGATCACGTTACTGCACTCCAGCCTGGGAGAAAGAAGGAGACCCTGTCTCAAACAACAACGAGAGCAACAACAGTTTATAAGGCTGAGGCATAAATTATTTTTAGCATAAAAATACAAAGTCATCTTTTAGATTTTAAGCTATAGTTATCGCTAGTTGTTGTTGGTATTTTCATTTTCCCCTGCCCTTAGAATGTAATTGTGAGTATGTCTTTCTTGCCTTTTATAGCCTTGGTTTCTTTATCTTTGATACATTTTTATTGACATTCTTAACATTTACTTATAAGCTTTCCCCTTAAATATGAAGATAATTTTTTTTTTTTTGAGATGGTGTCTCGCTCTCTGGCCCGGGCTGGGGTGCGGTGGCGTGATCTTGGATCACTGCAACCTCCACCTCTTGGGTTCAAGTGGTTCTCCTGCCTCAGCCTCCTGAGTAGCTAGGACTACAGGTATGTGCCACCACGCCCGGCTAATTTTTTGTATTTTTAGTAGAGACGGGGTTTCCCCGAGTTAGCCAGGCTTGTCTTGAACTACTGACCTCATCCGCCCAGCTCAGCCTCCCAAAGTGCTGGGATTACAGGCGTGAGCCACTGTGCCCAGTCTAAAATGAAGATAATTTTTAAATGTGCATAGTAGAAAAATGACAAAACAAAAGCCAAACAATATAGACATGTATATAGAAGAAGAAAGGAAAACCCGCAAATTCTGCATTCAGAAAAACCAAGTTCGCTTTTTATAGGCTGAGGAGCTGAGGTCATGTTGGGGAGGGCTTACTGTGGTATTTTAGATTAGGACAGGGAGGGGTTTGGCCTCTTCTAGAAAAACCTATAGAAGAAAAGAAATAATCATACTAAATTATCTTGAAATAAGATGTTTAAAATATTTATGCTACAAGGAATGGTGTTAATTTAGCTTTGAATGTTTCTGTTGGTTTGTTTTTAGTTTATAGAATTTTTGGTTTATGAAAGTATACCTCTGTTATTCCTCCTAAAGTTTGTGTGACATAGTTGGAAAATACCTCTGCTTTGTTGAACTGAAACTAAGAACTACAAAACTCTGACTTCTTAACATTACTATCAAAGAGAGAAAATAGATTAAAACTCAGAATTGCTAGAGCTTCAATATCTTAAGATTTTTGCTTCCTTTAGAAGAAATATTTTGCCATCTGATTTTTGTATAATGGTTAACATAAACTTATTGCTATTATTTTATACAGACAAGGTCTTTACTAGGTGTATTTGAAGAAGATGCCACAGCTATTTCCAACTATATGAACCAGTTGTATCAAGCTATGCATCGGATTTATGATGCACAGGTAAAAAGCTAAGGACTAACTTGATACTTTTAAAATGTGAATCTTTAAGCCCCATGAGGAGAAAGATAGTGTCTATCTTGTTTACCAGTGCTTAGCCCTGTACTAGGCTCCTAGTAATAAATATTTGTTGAATGGATGAATGACTATTAAGTGTATTACAGAACTTACATTTCAATTACTAGGGTCTAGTATGTAGTACTGGAAAAGTGATGGAAGATTGAAGCATCTGTCCATTCTCTCCAAACACAGTATGGGGGAAACCACCCCCATGAAACTCTGATAGTGATCTTTCCTAACATTTGAATGAAGATCTCATATCATCACCATATTTTCCCTAATCATGCTTATTACAATCTTATGGAACTCTTCCTGTCTGCCCCCACCCCGCACCGCTTTTCTTTTTTTTTTTTTTTTTTGAGAGGTAGTTTCGTTCTTGTCCAGGCTGGAGTATGATGGTGCAATCTCGGCTCGCTGCAACCTCCACCTCCCAGGTTCAAGCAGTTCTCCTGCCTCAGCCTCCTGAGTAGCTGGGACTACAGGTGTGTGCCACTACGCCTGGCTAATTTTGTATTTTTAGTAGAGACAGTTTTCACCATGTTGGACAGGCTGGTTTCGAACTCCTGACCTCAGGTGATCTGCCCACCTTGGCCTCCCAAAGTGCTGGGATTACAGGTGTGAGCCACCACACCCGGCCAACACTTACCCTTTTTGAGTAGAGGATTTGAAAGTAGGCTGCCTTTAGATGCAGCTCTGGAGCACAAGAACATGAAGGGTATGACTAGGTTTTCTTGTTGACCAGGCATAAAATTTGAAGCTGTGTTTGGATTACTTAATTATAAGCTTAAACAGCAACCTAGGTTCTGTGTTATACTTTCTTTGGGATTAAGTGTACAAATTTAATTTTTTTCCCTTTTCATATTCTTTGCTTTCTTAATTCACGTTTTCATTACGTACTTAAGAGTTGTTATGTTGTTGTTTAGTTTTTCCTTATGATTGGGCTGTGAAGCTTTACTTTCTGACCACAGAGATATGTGATTAATATGTTAAATAAACGTTATGTTTGTTATATTCACCAGTAAAAAAAAACTGAATGAAAGTTTTTCATATGGCTGTGTTGCTATGCTGTATGACTAGATCAACCACATTTTGGTTGCGTGTTATTAAGTGCTTCCTGTAGTCTCGTATCAGCACCTACAGAGAGGGATAATCAGTCATGAACGTGGACTCTCCAGAGATTTTGCTAAGATTATGTCAGTTTATTTCTAGGCTTTAAAATGTTTAATGCTTAGTTTTTATTAGCAACAACAACAACAACAACAAAAAACACAAGGAACACTGCTGAATTCCTTGACAGTGTCTATTTTATGTTTTGAGTTTTAAAGTGCTTTAATGGTAGTACCCGTTTCCAGTGATTTAATGAAGGTTTTAAAAAACATGTAGAATATTTATGTTAAGTGATAATAAATAAATTAGGTATATTCAACTAAAACTTTTTCTTACTAATACACGAATTTGAATGCTTTTTCCATAGAATGAATTAAGTGCAGCAACACACCTGACCTCAAAACTTTTAAAAGAATATGAAAAACAGGTATTGTATATCAAAGTTTTAAAAGCATAATTTTAGAAGTACAGCATCTGTATAGAAAGATAGACTTTCATCAAGAATCCTTCAAGTTTTCTTGAATTCACAGAATATCCCTTCGAAATTTGATGACAGCACTTATGTTGAGATAATTTTAATGATTTAATATTAAATACAGAGGCTGTCTAGTTTATTTTCTTTTTACAAATGAAGAAGTTGTGACTTGCTCAACATTACATGGTATTGGAGGAATTGGAGCTAAATGCTAAATCTTTGAACTCCCAGTTCGGTGGGTATTCCATTTTGCGATGTCAGTTGGTTACTTAACAAATATTTTAATTAATGTTTATTAATTATATATATATTACACAGTTTTAGTTAAATGATATTTTAGAACTTATTCAAAATTTTAGACATTTTCTGAAGTTATTTAAAAATGTAAATTATAGTAATGTGATTCCCAAAAGACACAACATTGAAACTTTACCTCATCTCTGCTTCTTGCTTTTCAGCGTTTTCCACTGGGAGGTGATGATGAAGTTATGAGCTCTACATTGCAACAGTTTTCAAAAGTTATAGATGAAGTAAGCATTTATTTTATTTTGTTTGATTAAATGGTCTTATGGTAAACCCAATTTAGCTTTCATTTATGAATAAAGCTCAATTACAAAGATGACTAAAGAATAGCCTTACTTCTATATCCTGGTGGCTAGCTTATTAAACAATACTTTCTTTTTCTGATTAAAACATTGTTTGCCAGGAATAAACGTATAAAATGTGCTTCTTCTGCATGTAGTCCATTTAGTCTTGACGTGTCATTTGATGTAGGCAGGGAGAGAAGAGTTAGGTTGTGAGCTACATCTGGTTTCTTTGTGGTTGCTCTTTTGCTATCAAGCAACACTATTAGTCTTTATTAATCTTGCCCTTCTACACAGCCAAAATCAACCCTAAATTTCTCAGTCATCACAACAGATCATTAAAACAAAGACCTAAAGTCTAAGAGGAAAAAAGGTAATGAGATAATGTGGAGAATCAATAACTGTTCTCTGCTGTTGCAGTAAAACCTCTTCTTTTCACATGGACTGTTAGATAGTCCTACATTTTCTAGAATTTTAACTAGAAAAATAATTTTTTTGAAATATTGTGTTATAACAGGAAATCAAGATAAAGAAATAACTTTTTTCATTAAAAAAATTTGTGGTAAAATACACATGGCATAAAATTTGCCATTCATGACATTTAGTACATTCACAGTGCTGTACAACCATAACCACTGTCTGGTTTTTCATCATCTCTCAGGAAGCCTTGTGCCCAGTAAGCAGGGTGTTAGTCTATTTTCACACTGCTGATAAAGACGTACTTGAGCCTGGGTAATTTATAAAGAAAAAGAGGCTTAATGGACTCACAGTTCCATGTGACTGGGGAGGCCTCACAATCATGGCAGACAGTAAAGGCATATCTTACATGGTGACAGTTGAGAGAGTGAAAGACAACTTATAAAATCATCAGATCTCCTGAGACTTATTCACTACCACCAGAACCATATGGGGGAAACTGCCCCTATGATTCAGTTATCTCCCACTGGTTCCCTCCCACAGCACATGGGAATTATGGGAGCTACAATTGAAGATGAGATTTGGGTGGGGACACAGCCAAACCATATCAAGCAGTCACTTCACCTCCCTGCTCCCTCAGCCCTTGTCAACCACTAATCTACTTTCTTTCTCTATGGATTTGCCTATTTTTGATATTTCATATAAATGGACTCATAATTTGTAGACTTTTTAATTTCTGCTTTCACTTAGCATAATGTGTTCAGGGCTCATTCATGTTGTAATATGCCTCAGTACTTTATTCTTTTTTTGGCTAAATAAAGTTTCATTGTTATGGATATACCATATTTTGTTTATTTAGTCATCTCTATATATCTATGTATCTGTTTACCTAGTCATTGTTTGTGTTGTTTCTGCCTTTTAACTAGTTCAAATAATGTTATGAGCATTGATACACAAGTTTTTTTGTTTTTTTTAACAACAGTTTTCACTTAAAAGCTTTTGAGTAGGTACCCAGGAATGGGATTGTTGGGTCATTGCATGGTAATTTTGTTTATTTAAAAGTTAAATAATTGTAGAAAACCGCCAAACTGTTTTCTATAGTGCCTGCACCATTTTACATTCCTACCAGCAATATAGGAAGGTTCCAGTTTTTCCACAGCCTCACTAATAATTATTTTGTTTACATGTATTTAAATTTTTTAAAAAAATTATAGCCATCTGAGTGAGTGTGAAGTGGTATCTCATTGTGGTTTTGATTTGCAATTTCTTGATGTCTAATGATCTCGAGCACCTTTTCATGTGCTTATTGGTCATTTGTTTATCTTTGAAGAAGTTATTCAGATCCTTTGCCTATTTTTAACTTAGGTTGTCTTTTTATTATTGAGTTGTAAAAATTCTCTGTTCTGGATACAAGTTCTTTATCAGTTACATAATTGGCAAATATTTTAATATTTTCTCCCATTCTGAACTTTTTTTTTCACTTTCTTGATAGTGTGGTTTGATGCATAGAAGTTTTAAATGTTAATAATGTCTATGATATATTTTCTTTTGTTCCTTGTGCTTTTAGTGTTGTATGCAAGAAACTATTACCAAATCCAAGGTCACTCTATGTTTTCTAAGAGTTTGGTAGATGGAATTTTTTTTTTACTCTATAGTATTTGGTACTATATCACATAATTTTTAGTGTTTTTTTATGTAAAATGTATCAGAACCTTTTTTATTAGATTCTGTTTAATTTATATAACACTGGTTAAATGTCTGTATATAGTTATTTGGCCTTTTTGGTCTTTCTTTTTCTAGCTTAGCTCTTGCCATGCAGTACTTTCAACTCAACTTGCTGATGCCATGATGTTCCCCATTACCCAGTTTAAAGAAAGAGATCTGAAAGGTATTGAAGTCAAGCTTATGTTTACTTTCATTGACTGTGAGATCAGTGCTTGTAAAATGCATATTACTCTATACCTGTACCATTTCTGGACCACAACCTGTGCCACTCTTACTTTGCTCGGTTACCAAACATTTATAGGAGCTCTTGCTAAATGTCAAACTAGTTATTGAGAAATACTGATATGGATAAGATATCCCCTCTTTCAAGAAATTCTAGAGAGGGAAGTAGGCCACACATAATTACAACACTTATATCTCTTATAATTAAGGAATGAGCAAGGTGCTGTCGGGGCTGTTAGGAGGGGCTCAGCAAGGCTTCACCCAAGGATGTGTCATGAGTATTGAACAGTGAAGAGAAATTTGTCAGGGAAAGAGTCATTGTTCTGTTAGAGGGACTAGAGTGCACAGTGTATGGCTTGTAGAAATACACTGCCTATTTTGACAGTAGGAAGAAACTCAGTATGGCTGTAATGCTGGCTGTGTTAGAGTGAGGCAGGAGATGAATCCAGAAATAGAGTAGTGGGAGTAGGTCATGCTAAGAGGCTAGACTTGAGTTTATGAGCGAAGGCGAAGCCAGTGGGGGTATTTAAGGAGAGACACAATTCCTTTGAAGGATGGAATAGAGTGGACTTGTTATGTAGGAGACTAGACTGGTAAGTTTTGGGAGTCCAGTGAGATATGACCAAGGCCCGAATTAGGATAGTGGCACAGGGTATAGAGGTATGTGTATGGCCTGAAGTGGCAAGAGGTAGGGGCACTCATGCATCTAATAATCTGCACCCTAGTAGTTTGTGAGTTTTATTTTCACCCATTTAGGATTACTAGGTGATACAATGAGAATTTTATAGAATTGGTTCTGCTTTCCCATAACTTGAAATCTCAGTCATACAGACTTATTTCCAAAATATGTAGACAGATTAAAAATATTGAACTAATGTATCAGGGAATGGTAAAGTATTTAAATTATACATAGAATACAGACATGCATATTATACTACTATTCTATACCTACACCATTTCTGGACTGCAACCTGTGCCACCTTTACTCAGTCTCCAATACATCTCGAATGTATTTTAAAGATGGAGGTACTAACTGTGGCTGTGATCCTCAGGAATGGTCATTTCTAAGGTCTAGAATAAGATCTCTTTTCTTATAATGTAAGGGGACTGAATGGCATAATCTTATTAATAAGATGTTTTGTTTCTTGTTTAGCATTTCAGTGTTTAGATTCATATATCAAATATGCATGATTCTGGCACTAAATCAGAATATTTGCATATGTTAGCGTTTATAATGGGTTTTTGAAATTTGTTTTTGTGTCATATCACTAAACAAAGTAGATTTATAGCAAGTAGATTTTCTGTTACTAATGATTATAAGTGTTCCTTAGACTAGCTGAAACACAGAGTAGCTTCTTCACCTTGAATGTTGAAGTATGAAATATTATTTGGAATTTTAATTATAGTTTAAGTGGCAGTTATTGTTTTCCAAACAGTTGTATTGCGTAAGTATGCCAAACTTAAATTATTCTTGAACTTTTTCAGAAATACTAACGTTAAAGGAAGTATTTCAGATTGCAAGTAACGGTAAGCCCTATAATTTGCACACTTATTTCTTGCAGTGATGTATTTATTTATCAGTGCATATCTGTGGCCAGACTCTTTGTAATAATTGAAAAAAAAGAGAACCCAACTAAAAATAAGTGGACATTACTTAAATCAGTATTGCTGCTTAAATTACACTGTTTATACTATAAGAAAAATCTTAAGGAAATTAAGTCTTATAGGCTGCTAGCTTCATAATACCTAAAGAGGTGGTGTAATATTTTACCTTTCTTGTTCTTTTATATTTTCCCATTTTTCTTTAATGAGTGTTATATATGTATATATTTTAAAATATGGGGTCTTGCTCTGTTGCCCAGGTTTGAGTGCAGTGGCTATTCAAGCCACAGTCGTAGCATGCTGCAGTGATCCTCCTGCCCCATCCTCCTGAATAGTTGGGACTATTGGCACGTGCCACTGTGTTTAAGCTGCGTTTGCTATTTTTGTATTAAAAAATACTTTATAAAACTTTAGTACATTGCAGTTTCCTTAGAATTAATTTTTTTAAAAAACGAATTTGATAAGTAACACATAATTTAGGGGAAATTTGGCTGCGAGGAAAATTTGAGTGCAGTGGTCATGTGGTAGGAAATTCTTGCTTTAGTACATTTTTGGAAAGATGCACATGAGAAGACCATTTAAAGTATTTGTAAGTTTTGAAAATTATTGTTGTATTGTCACTTGTTTCTTTTTTCCAGATCATGATGCTGCAATTAATAGATACAGCCGATTGTCAAAAAAAAGAGAAAATGACAAGGTGTGATACATATTTATTCCTTCAGTGTCATAATTAACAGCTATTCATTAGATGGTCTAAAAAATAGAACCATTGGTTACTTTGTATATTTTGTTATATTGCTCTTATTCTTTCCTTCTAGCTGTTTGAAACCTTTCTGATAATCATTGACCTCTTTAAACAAAATATTTTCTTCTGCCAAAATTTGGTGTTATAACTAAACATAATTATTCTGGAAATGTAACTGACACCTAGTATATAACATTGCCTCTTGTTGCTTTGGATTTTGATGACATGGCATTGGTTCTGTTTGAATATGTGTATGTTCAAAAATGTCTTCTGAAGATAGAGTGGTCAGAAAGTAGAATTTTCACACATAATGAAATTCTGTTATGAGAACCTCCTTATTTACAGAAATATATATCTTTTGATATTTGTTCAAGGAGTGAAATACAGAAGTATTACACTGTATTTGAGGAGAAATGCATTCAAGTAAAGATGAGAGAACAGAATATTAACAAGTTCTTCTGGGCGTGCCTTAAGATCATGTCTTTCTTCAGCACCTAGTCCAAGGCTTAATGTGTAGGTCTTTTTAGATGTTTGTAACTGAGGTGATCTCTCTGCCTGGGTGTTGGTGTCTACAGCCTTGGCTTCAGCTGCTGGTAGAGACACAGTGACCTGCTTGTGAGAATGCACAATTGGGTAGGATTTACTGTGTAATACCTGCTGTGACAAAAGGAAATGTTTCTCACACAAAGTTTAGTACAAAGATTTGCTTTATTTCTAATTTTAGCTGCAGACTACTTAATGGTATATTGATAAAATATATACATTTTGAGATTTATATTAGTCACTTGGCCTTAGAGAAGTAGTTAAAGTCTCTAGGTATAAAATTTGATGTATTTTACATTACTTCTGGCTGTTCAAATTATTCTAAAAAACATTCTTTCACCAGTTTTATTTTATTTAAAAATTCATTGAGCATCTAATATATATCAAGAATGTATTAGTTATACCCAACTAGTCTGTTTGGTATGTTAGGGGAACAATGTGAGTAGGCTTCACTCCTGCCCTCAAAGACTGGATACTCCACATTTATTGAAGGCTTCCTTTGTGAAGGCATGCAATTCGACTAGGAACCAGAGTACAAGGATGATGAGAAGGCATGGAGTAAATCTGTTATTAGTTAAATACAGTAATAGGGGTTTTAATAAAATGCTGAGAGAGCACAGAGAGGGCAGCAGTTAGCTTTGATTGGTGAATTGGGAAAGGTTACACTTTTTTTTTTGAGACAGGGTCTCATTCTGTCTCCTAGGCTAGAGTGCAGTGGCGCAATCTTGGCTCACTGCAACCTCTGCCTCCCAGGTCAAGTGATTGTCCTGCTTCAGCCTCCCCAGTAGCTGGGATTATAGGCGTGTGTCATCACACCCACCTAATTTTTTGTATTTTTGGTAGATACAACATGGTTTCACCATGTTGACCAGGCTGGTCTTGAACTCCTGACCTCAAGTGGTCTACCTGCCTCAGCCTCCCAAAGTGCTGGGATTACAGACATAAGCCACTGCACCTGGCCAGGAAAGGTTACACTTTTAAAAGGTGACATTTACGTTGAAGATAAGTGGATAACACTAGTTTGGAATCGGAGAGATTCCAAAATAATTGGATTCCTGAAAGAAAAACAGCCTTTCAGAGGCACATGGTAGAGTTGGGAGACTGTAAAGGTTAAGAGTACTCTCTGACAATAAAGAGAGTGTTTGGAGATATGGCAGAAAGGGTAAGAAGTATATTGGGACCAGATTACTATATTAATGACCTTGAAATTTATGTTAGAGGGAGTGGGCAACCTCCAAGGATTCTAAGTAGGTGAATAACACCATGCAGTTATGTTATAGAACAAGCATACTAATGAAAATGTGAAGAGGACAAGACTAGAGGGAATCCAAGGAAAGGAATTGGAATAGTTTGCAAAAATATAATGAAGGTCTCAGCTAAGGTTGTTACTGAAAGTGGAGAGGAAGGAGTACTTTTGGGAGATACTTCATAAGTAGAATTGACAAGATTTGTGGTAATCGGAATAAAAAATGAGTCCTAGATTTCTTGGATGTCTGGATGGATCCTGTAGTAATTAAGAGAGCTAAGAAACAAAGTGGAAGAACAGGTTTTGTGTACAAAGCTATCTTCAGTTTTGTACATTTTCAGCACACAAACACATGTAAAGAACTTAGCTGGAGATGTGTTTCCTCTGTCACTTGGGAGAGTGAGAGGCAGGAGATAAAATCTATGAGTCATTGAATCATTGGTATATTAGAATATTAGAATATTCTTGGTACTTGATGAGGGATTCTAAGGAAAGCAGGAAGACAGAACCTAATGCCTATTAGATAATAGGTATTCAATAAATATCTATTGTCTGAATAAAATAACTCTGGTGAGCACACATATTTCAAATATGGGTGAAGGAAGACAAACAGGTACAAGACAGTAGGACTGATAGGGAGAGAACCAGGAGGGAAGAATGGTATGCTGTGAACTGATCAAAGACTAATGGCTAAGCTAAGACCAACAATTGTCTGCCCTTCCTCCCAGTGATAAACTTTCTCTACCATGCGTAGTTGAGTTATTGTACCATTCTTAGTTATGTACAGAATTCTGTTTTCAATATGCATTTTTTTTTTTGGGGGGACAGTCTCTTTCTGTTGCCAGGCTAGAGTACAGTGGTGTGATCTCAGCTCATTGCAACCTCCGCCTCCCAGGGGAAAGCTATTCTTATGCCTCAGCCTCCCCAGTAGCTGGAATTACAGGTGTGCACCACCGCACCCAGCTAATTTTTTCCATTTTTAGTAGAGCGGGGATTCACCATGTTGACCAGGCTGTTTTCAAATTCCTGGCCTCAAGTGATCTTCCCGCCTCCACTTCCCAAAGTGCTGGGGTTACAGGAATGAGCCACCACACCTGGCCTCAATATGCATTTTGTAAATTATGTGGTTGGAAGTTAAACAGGAAAATTGACTTAACCAATGTTGAAGGATTTCTAAAAGATCAGAAAACAGGAACATTAATGCTCAATTGCTTGTGATATACCTTTTCCTTGGGTAGGCTCTTCCCCGAAGCTCCTACTGAAGATAATTCAAATAATTATCTACTATAGATAAAATAGATAATTGTAGATATAGAAGATAATTTACCATTACTTAATTTTTTAAATCTTTTCATTCAAAGGTGAAGTATGAAGTAACAGAAGATGTGTACACGTCCAGAAAGAAGCAACACCAGACCATGATGCATTATTTTTGTGCATTAAATACTCTTCAGTACAAGAAGAAAATAGCATTGTTAGAACCTCTACTTGGGTACATGCAAGCTCAGGTAAATACTGTATGGTATTTTGGATTATAACTGTTCTAAAAGCTTTATATTAAGCTTGATATTTACGTTAAGTGTAAAGATATTATATTTTCCTTTTTTTGCGGGTGGGTGGAGTCTCACTCTGTTGCCCAGGCTGGAGTGCAGTGGTGCCATTTTGGCTCACTGCAGCCTTTGCCTCTCAGGTTCCAGCGATTCTCCGGCCTCCGCCTCCCAAATAGCTGAGATTACAGGTGTGTGCCACACACCCGGCTAATTTTTGTATATTTAGTAGAGACGGGGTTTCACCACGTTGGCTGTGCTGGTCACAAACTCCTGACCTCAGGTGATCCACCTGCCCGAACTTCCCGTAGTGCTAGGATTCAGGTGTGAGCCACCATGTCTGGCCTATGAACTGTTTTCAACATCCTTTTTCATGTCTGTGTTTTAAGAAGTAATTTTTTAAAATGTCATCAGACTATTATTTTAAGGAAGTTAGGAAGAATGGTTTTCCTTACAAATGAAGATTTCAAATATTTTAGGAATAGCAACTTGTTCACCTTAGCTGGGGACTGAGAACAGAATGCTAAATGAATTTCAGTTACACTTATTGCTGGAGCTTCAACTAAACACCTGCTTCATAATAGATGTGAAAGAGAATGAACAAGTTTGAGTTTATCCCACATTTTTTGCATACTTCCTGAGTTAATAGAGGAACTCCAAAGTCCCCAAAGAGGTGTACATCAGGAAGGGGACTAGAAAATTTATGTTTTAGGTGGTATGAGACACAGCATCAGTCTCCTAAAAATCAAGAGTTTAAAGAAATTTGAGGCCAGGTGTGGTGCCTCATGCCTGTATTCAAGCACTTGGGTAGGCCAAGGTAGGAGGATCACTTCAGTCCAGGAGTTTGAGACTAGCCTCAGCAATGTAGGAAGACCCCATCTCTAGAAAAAAATGAAAAAATCAGCTGGGCATGGTAGCATGCCTCAGTGGTTCCAGCAGCTTGGAAGGCTGAGTCATATGAAGGACACAAAAATATATTAAACAATATATTTAAAGTAAATCATAGGGCATTTTTCCTAGGAGGTTGAGGCTGCAGTGAGATGCTACTGTGCAGTCTGGATGACAGAGTGAAACCCTGTCTCAAAGGAAAAAAAAAGTTGAATATATTTAAGTAAAAGAGTATTTTACTGATTATTCCTCAGCTAGAAAACTTATCTTTGTAGTAAACATGAAATAGTTTATATAATTTATTGGAAGTGCTTTAAAATTTACTTTCTAATTAAAAAAATTGTTAACCATACATGTGTATTACTTGTTCAATTCAAAAAATATAAAAGGATATACAGTGGAATTTAAATCTAACTTCCTTAGTGGCTCCATATGCAGTAGATGTTGCAAACTACAATGTATTTTTACACAAATGGGAATATTGCTTTTTTTTTTTTTTTTTTTTTTTTTTTTTTTTTTTTTACTTAACCATTTATCTTAGAGATCATTTATATGATTTACTTTAAATATATTGTTTAATGTATTTTTGTGTTGTTCCATTCCCCCTTCCCCACTCTTCAGATAAGTTTCTTTAAGATGGGTTCTGAAAATCTTAATGAACAACTGGAAGAATTTTTAGCTAATATTGGAACAAGCGTACAGAAGTAAGTATTATTTTCCTTAAAATTGAAAATGAAATGATGTGAATGATAAGTTAAAAGCTAAATGACATAATGTAAAGACATTTACCATTTAATTTCCTGAGGGGATATTTTCCCTGTCATGAGAGTTTCTTATGTGGTTCCTGGTTACTTCTTGTTTACCTCTTTTTTTCCATAGATCATGAACTCTGAATTTCTTAGTAGTGGTAATTTTATTGATTCTAAACTCAGTTTTATGTATAACAGACACATAATAGTAATTCTCCATAAGTGAAATTATCTTTAAACTTGAAATTGTGGGAGTTTGATGGGAGATTACTAAATATTGTTTCCAAGCCATGAAAGCTTAGAGAAAAAATGTAGTTCTCATCAGGTTCAAAATGCTGAGCAGTATATGTGGTCAGTCTGTGGTATGGAGAGAGATGAAATTGATTGTTGTTTTAATGGCACAGGACAGAGCAGTTTGAAAATTACTCCAAAATCAGGCATTCAGTAGGGAGTCATTAGTTTTTTTAATTTAATATTGTTTCCAAAATATCTAAGTTTCAAATAAAATGTAAACCTGTTTTAAAATATATTTGCGTTGTTTTAACCACCCGTGCCACTCTTCTGTCTTTAAGAAAACATGCGAAACAAATACACAGGTAAACATGATTGGTAAGTTCTTATTGGTTGTGATTTGTAGTAAATAATTCTGTCTCTGTCAGTGTTCGCAGGGAAATGGACAGTGATGTAGAGACCATGCAACAGACAATAGAGGATTTGGAAGTAGCCAGTGACCCTTTATATGTGCCTGACCCAGACCCCACCAAATTTCCTGTTAATCGAAACTTAACCCGAAAGGCTGGATACCTTAATGCTAGGAAGTAAGAAAACTATTATTTTTGTCTATTGTATATCATGTAAGACAATACCAAATGAATATAATAAATAATTGATGTTGTCTGTCATTATTTTGATTTTTACTAAAGGTTGAAACTTTTTAGAGGTGTATTTACGTGAACTTTTTCACAGATGAGGTACATGAGTACTTTTCGGAAGTAAAATCCTACCTAGATATTTATTGAATAATGTAGAATGAGAAAAGAAGTGAAACCAAAGCTGGGTGTGAGGGCTCACACCTGTGATCCCAGGACTTTGGTAGGCCGAGGCAGTTGGATCACCTGAGGTCAGGAGTTTGAGACCAGAATGGCCAACATGGTGACACCCCACCTTTACTAAAAATACAAAAATCAGCTGAGCATAATGGCTCATGCCTGTAATCTCAGCTACTCAGGAGGCTGAGGCATGAGAATCACTTGAACCTGGGAGGCAGAGGTTGCAGTGAGCCGAGATCACACCACTGGAGGACCGAGTGAGACTGTCTCAAAAAAAAAAAAAAAAGAAGACGTGAAACTAATTTGAGTTTAAATAAATATTCACATATTGTATCAGAACATGAGAACGTTATTAAATATCATTGATCTTACTTTAAGATATGTATGATTATAGCACCAAGTAAAATGTTAGTTTTCAACTGAAGATAGGATGGAGCAGGTTAACCCTGGAAATAAAATAAATTCTATTGTTTTGAATTTACTCTCTTGGAAGTTGAAGTATAACCTGTAATTTATGGAGCATTATTATTACAGCTGCAATTTTATAATTTCCAGCCTTGTTTTGGAAACTGTATATACATTCACAAAAGTAAGTCAACATACATGAATTTATCTTAGAGACTGAAAGTGTATTTATATTTATTTTCTTGGCACCTTGGTGTCTTTTTGCAAACCAGTTCTTTGTAACATGCTTTATCTTGTGTCTGGCTGATGATGAGATTTCAGGTATGTTGTTATTAAAGAGTGAATGTGTTTCTTCATTTAGTAAAACAGGTTTGGTGTCTTCTACCTGGGACAGACAGTTTTACTTCACGCAGGGTGGAAATTTGATGAGTCAAGCCCGTGGGGATGTAGCAGGAGGCCTGGCCATGGACATAGACAACTGTTCAGTGATGGCTGTGGACTGTGAAGACAGACGATACTGTTTTCAGATCACTTCTTTCGATGGAAAAAAGTTAGTATTTTTTTCTACTACTAGTAATCTATAATATTTTAAACTACTAAAATGTGGGATAATTCCTTTTTGTTTAGAAATTTTATGGAAATTTTAGGTTTATTATATATTGAGGTAAATTGCTTTTTAATCTTGTAGAATTGTATTGAATTTTTGTTTCTGAGTTGGTTATGGTTTCTTGATATTTTGAGGTTGTCAAAGCAATGTCATATCGTAAAGATCTGTGATTTCATGTTAAGGAACTGCAACTGAAAATCTTACATAGTATGGAAGAAGACAGAACAAGTTAATGGAAAGAGTCCTAAACCTGGGGTCAGAAAGCTCAAAGTTTGGATTTATTACTTACTGTGTGACCTCAAACTTACCCCTCTCAGCTCCATTTTCCTTCATGTAAAATGTGAATGGGGGAGTTGTAATCCCTACTTTGTAAATTGTTGTGAGGAACAGAAATTCTAGTATATGTAATGTGACTGACATAGTAGGTGCTAACAATAGTGTTATTTTAAAATGTTAAATATTTCTGATTATATTATTTTCCCATTAATGATATAATAATACCATTTTAAAAAATTTCCATTACCTTTCTTTGTTTATTTGAGGCAGGTTCTTACTGTGTCACCCTGGCTGGAGTGCAGTAGTGTGAACATGGCTTACCGTAGCCTCAAACCTCCTGGGGTCAAGGGATCCTCTCACCTAAGGATCCTAAGTAGCTAGGATCATAGGTGCATGCCACCATGCCTGGAAATTAAAAAAGAATTTTTGTAGAGATGTCTCATCATGTTGCCCAGGCTGGTCTTGAACTTCCGGACTTAACTAATCTTTCTGCTTTAGCCTCCCAGAGTGCTGGGATTATAGGGGTGAGCCACTACGCCCAGCCTTCTAATACCTTTGCATTAAATGAGAATCTTTAAAGTAGCATTTAAAGGAAATTTTCAAAAAGCATGGAAAACATAAAAAGGAGTATGAAAAAATCCTACTGTCTTATTAACCAAAAGCAACAATTAACCTTTTTGTCCATTGCCTTCCAATTTTTAACCTATGTACATTTTAAAAATAGTTGAAATATTATAATTTTGATCTGCAGCCACCTGTTAAAAACATGTTATAATGGCTATACTATAATTTATTTAAGGACATACATTATAATTTAAACATTTTCCTAATGATAGATGTTTAGACTATCTGCCATTTTCCCTCCCACTCAATTAAAATACTGTTTTTGACCTTTGAACTTTCTTAAGTTAATGTTCAGGAGCAGCCTCTGGGTTCCTGAAAAGTCTTTTTTTCCCCTGTATTTATGCACATTAAGATATTCTAAAAATAAATACATTTGACCTTTCCCCCTTAAAAAAAAATAGGTCATTATCCTTTATCAAAATGGTTAATTTCACATTTCTTCTACAAACATAATGAATGCCAATATTGTGTGCATTTATCACACTAGATGTTGGGTGTTGGGAATCACTGTATTTATTTATCAAAATATTAAGTTGGTAAACTTAACATGTTACTTATTATAAGTACTTTTTGTTTAATGCTTACCATGATTTCCCATTTCACATTCCTGTTGTGATGCAAAATTAGTAGAAATTATTTTCTCTAACTCTAATAATATATCTATAGAAAAGCAAAATAATATGTTTAATGATTGATATATCAAAATATTTGATTTAATATTAAAGGAGAATTAATGAAGCAAAGTTTTTTTCTATTAGGATCATTGAGGCGTATTTGAAATATATTTGATAAGTTCATAATATATATGAAATATATATGATACATTGAAATGCATTATCTTCACTGAAATGTAATTTTGTCATGGTCGGTCTTCTGAGGATCAGCACCTGTTTCCTTTTTGGTACATCTTGGCATAGATAGCCAGAGTCAGAGTTGTTAAAGTCTGTGTCCTGTTACCTCTGGTAGTCTCCATTTCCTAAGATGCCGTTGGTTGTGTTTTGTTTTTTTCTTTTAATATCGATTGGTGTTTATATATTCGTTTACCTTTAAAGATAAAAAGTTCTCTCAGATTATGTTGAAAGTACTTTTTTAACAGTTGAGACTCAAACATCTCTTCTCTTCCAGATCTTCAATTTTGCAAGCAGAGAGTAAAAAAGATCATGAAGAGGTAAAATTTTACCTAGTTCATTTCTTCAGTGACATTTATTCACTGAAAAAATGTCATATTCAGTGATATTTATAAAAATTAATAATTTAAAATATTTTTCTGATGACAAAATATATATTAATGTATTCATTATAGAATCCTAGTTCATTAAATTTTTTTTTTTTTTTGTAAAAGTCTATTGTCCTCAAGTAACATTCCTAAGTTTCTCACAGAATTTTATAGTGGGAAGGACCTTAGAAATCATCTCTGCTATTTTAAAAGCTCAGATTCAGAAATGACCTTGTGACTGTTGCTGTCTGGCAGGCTGTTAGTATCATGAGGTGACAGTTTATTCCCTTCTCTCTCCAATCCTTTGAGACACTATTTGCTGCACTAAGAATATAGTGGCAGCAGATGTGACATGGCAGGAAGCAACTAAAGCTGAAAAGCTTGGAGAAATGAAAGATAGAAAAACAAAAATTTGGGAGTCTCTGTTCTTCCTCATGAGCCTTTTGTTTTTGGCTCCATTTTTACTCCTACTATATCAGATATGGAAGGTAAGGTCTTAGCAAGAATTGATGCTTCAAACCTTTATCTTAAGAAACATTCTTCCATGAAAATATACCCTGGCTTGATTTTTAGCCTTTTAATTTGGCATTATAATTGTGCTGGTAAGAGATAAAAGTTGGAAATGCTATAGAGATCTACCTTTATTTACTTCTTATGGAAAAGAGTTAATATTAAATCTCGCTTTTGGTCTCTGAGGAACACAGACAAATGTCTGTTCTCTGCATAGTTTTCCAAACAATATTTGTTTAGTTTAGTGATGCTTAACAGACACGTGAATCCTCGAGAGTTAAGCAGAAGATTTAGAGCAGAGATTGTTTTCTATGCTAATAATTTATAAACTTGACAGAAGGGAAGCATGTAAAATATATTCACCAAGAATATATTTATCTTTTAAATTTTTTGCATTTGTGTTAATTATGATACCTGAGTTCACACTGTCTTGTTTGGTGAGGCTTAGGAGGGAAAGTGATAAAAAGAAATATATAGATTATTATGTATAGTTTAACATGATTGCTGTTTTATTTCCTTATATGAATTAAACTTGAGCTTCTTACATAAATGTACTATTTTCATAAATAATAATAATGTTGAATATTCTTTTTATACATATTTTTATATATGTACCTTCCTTATGAAATGTTTTCTTATAAGGAAGATAAATGTATTACTTCTAATGAAACATCTGCAATTTAGTATTGAACATTTGCCTTTATAAGAGAAGCTTTATAGAAAAAAATTAATTATATTTTTCTATTTTTTCATCTTGCAGTGGATCTGTACGATAAACAACATATCTAAACAAATATACTTAAGTGAAAATCCAGAGGTAATATTTTTATTTTATGTTACCCAGATCTAGCAAAATTGAGTAATTTTGTGGCTTACATGTTTTTATTCATAATTTCTCAAGTTCTGTAATTTTTTAATATGGCCTTAAATGAGTAGGTTTTTTTTTTTTTTTTTTTTTTTTCTTTTTGAGATGGAGTCCTGCTTGTTGCCCAGATCGGAGTGCAATGGCCCGATCTCTGTTCACTGAAACATCCACCTCCTGGGTTCAACTGATTTCTCCTGCCTCAGCCTCCCGAGTAGCTGAGATTATGTGCCACCACACCTGGCTAATTTTTGTATTTTTAATAGAGACTGGTTTATCCATGTTGGTCAGGCTGGTCTTGAACTCCTGTCTGTGGGTGATCTGCCCACCTTGGCCTCCCAAAGTGCTGGGATTACAGGTGTGAGCCACTACATCTGAACTGAATGAATAGCTTTAATGTGCTATGTATGTAATGAGTGGTCTTCCTAGAACAATAAATTATTTCAAAAGGTACTCAACTCAGTCGGTCAACAAATATTTATTGTATGTTGACTGTTTTACTTGTGTTGAGCACCATGAAGAAAGGAAATAGAGAAGAAATTGAGCCATGCCCTCCAGGAGCCTCTCTGTATGGAGAGACAAAACTAAAACTTTAAGTAACATTTTAGATAAAATAGGATGTAATTGAAAGCATATGGTGATGACTAAGTTTTGAGATCAGTGTGGACTTTAGAGAAAGCTCTGTGGAGATGGTGGAAACCTGAGTTGAGTAGGATTTGTTTGTGTTTTGAGGAAAAGAAGAGTACAGATAAGAAAAAAACCAAGAGCACAAATGCAGATGTAAAAATGACAAGTTTATGAAACTAGTAATGTAATTAAATATTCTTCTTTTTTTTGAGACAGAGTCTTGCTGTGTCACCCAGGCTGAAGGGCAGTGGTGCAATCTCAGCTCACTGCAGCCTCCGCCTCCCGGGTTCAAGTGATTCTCCTGCCTCAGCCTTCTGAATAGCTGGGACTACAGGCTTGCGCCACCACGCCCAGCCAATTTGTTAATAGAGACAGGGTTTTGCCATGTTGGCCAGGCTAGTCTCAAACTTCCAACCTCAGGTGATCAACCTGCCTTGGCCTCCCAAAGTGCTGGGATTACAGGCTTAAGCCACCACATCCAACCAAGTTAAAGGTTCTTGATAGAGAATACAAAATTGAAGTATGCATACAAATCACCTAGCGGTCTTGTTAAAATGCTTAATATGATTCAGTATGTGTAGGGTGATACAACTCGAATTCCCAGTTTTGCAAATTATACTTTGAGTAGCAAGGATATCAGAACAGACACACCCTGACATGTAGACATAGCCATATGTGCAGTCCAAATATACAGGTAGAACCCAGGGGTACAGAGTCAGGTGGGTCCTTCAGTATTGTTGGAAAAAGACTTGACTCTAGGACAGGAGCTGTCTGACCTCTGCCACTCTTGGTGGGCCTGTCTGTGCTATGACAATCCAGGCAACTCCCATGGCTTGGCACAGGCTGATGATTTCAGCTGAGGCTGGGAAATAATTTCTTTGGGAGGCTCTCACTCTTCTAAATCTTAATCTGCTACTGATGTAATGGTTGTTTAGATGGGAGAGCTAGACTTGACTAGTTTAGTAACTAATTGATGTGAAGGATGAAGAAGATGAATAAGGTAAAGATGACTTCCAGGTTTTAAACCTAAGGGAAGAGAAGAATTTGGGAAAGAAGAGTTCTGTTTTTATCTTAATGGCTTTGAGGTACCAGCTAAGAAATGCCTAGGAGGAAGTTTTGAACAGTAGAAACAAAATCTCATGACCTCCAACATACTAGTAATTTGTTAGTTTTATAAAATGTTGTTATATTTATATTGTAACATATAATGTATTATAATTATGTATAATACAATAAATTATGAGTTTAATTATGGAAAATCAGTGGTAACTGTAGAGAAGTCTTTTGCTTTTAGTAATTTGGTCTCCCATCAATCTAGCTTTTCCTTTTTGTAAGGTTACTTGGGAGCAACAAAAAATACAATTAAAATACAAATTAAATGATTTATCATCTGGGGAATACAGTGTTTGAATTTGAATAGTTTGGTTTTAGTTAATATTTCCTAGGTTATCCAGAATTATTTTATCTGTATTAGAATAGAAATTTTGATTAGTTTATGGCATTGTATTGGTGATGATTTTGCTATGAGACAAGAAATGCAAACCTGTTTTGTAATTATTTTTTCTAATTTAAAGACCATTTTTATGGAGTATATCCTGCAGTACCAACTTCTCAGGAGGCTGAGAGGGGAGGATTGCTTGAGCATAGGAGATCAAGGCTGCAGTGAGCCATAATCATGCCGTTGCACTCCAGTCTAGGCAACAGAGAACCTATCTCCCAAAAAAAGACCATTTAAAAATTGTGATAAAATCCACAAATTTACCATGTTAACCATTTTTAAGTATATAAGAAGAGTAATGTTAACTATACATTATTAAAACATTTTTAATTTAAATATCATTTTTATTTAGTCAGTGTTTTAAATAAAACAGTAAGTCTAAAGTATTTCTATGGAAAGCTTTCTTATTTTCTTTTTTTTTATTTGAGACAGAGTTTCACTCTTGTTACCCAGGCCGGAGTGCAATGGCGCGATCTCAGCTCACCGCAACCTCCGCCTCCTGGGTTCAGGCAATTCTCCTGTCTCAACCTCCTGAGTAGCTGGGATTACAGGCACGCGCCACCATGCCCAGCTAATGTTTTGTATTTTTAGTAGAGACGGGGTTTCACCATGTTGACCAGGATGGTCTCGATCTCTTGACCTCGTGATCCACCCACCTCGGCCTCCCAAAGTGCTGGGATTACAGGCTTCAGCCACCGCGTCCAGCTAGCTTTCTTATTTTCAATTTTTTGGTCTGAAAAATGACAACTTTATAAATTAATAAACATATATCTGAGCATAAATATATTCTGGAAAATTGTGAAAACTTCCAGCATAGTTATAAAATACTCATATTTTATGAGTATTTCCTACTCCTGAATTTCTTTATTCAATGAATACATCGATTGTCGTATCAGGCACTGGGCTGGGTGCTAGCAATACAAACTTTAATCAAAAATATCTGGTAGTTAAAATTTTAAAGAAAAAAACAGTATTTTCTTTAAAAATTTAAAGTGTGCAGCATTTGCAGGGAATTTAGAAAAATTAAAGAAAAGCAATATATAATAATTGTGTATAAGTAGAAAATCAGAAATTTTATTTCTCGATTATAGGAAATAAATCAGTTATGTACCCTAATATTAAGACAAGAAAATATGGAACTACTTTGGTAGCTCTAATTTATATTTTAAGTGTAACTCAGAAGCATTCTAACAATTCAAAGTTACATTCAAACTTTTGGTTTGCTTACTTTACTAATATTAGTCCTTTAAAAAAAATTAAAATAGGAAACGGCTGCACGAGTAAATCAGTCAGCTCTGGAAGCTGTCACTCCTTCCCCATCTTTCCAGCAGAGGCACGAGAGCCTGCGGCCAGCAGGAGGGTAAGTTACCACACTGAGTTATTTTAAAAACGATATGGGCTATTTAAAGTATCTGTGATCTGGGATTGTGTTTCTACTGAAACATAAGATTTCTCATTGACTTACAATATTGGGTTTTCTTTTTTCATAGTGTGTTAATATTTAATATCCAAAAGGGAAAATTAAATGTAATGCCTTCTTGTTTTATGCTTAGACAGTCTCGGCCACTGACAGCTCGAACCAGCAGTTCAGGATCCCTAGGATCTGAGTCTACAAGTTTGGCTGCTCTTTCTCTGGATTCTCTTGTTGCCCCAGATACCCCAATACAGTTTGACATAATTTCTCCTGTGTGTGAAGATCAGCCTGGCCAAGCAAAAGCCTCTGGCCAGGGAGGCAGGTGGGTGATAGCATCACAGGTACTTTGTGCTGTGGTCTGTAAGGTTTATAATCCCCTGTCTACGTTTGAGAGTCTTCTCTTATATATCATGTACCTCAGCTATGTTGTGCTTTCTTTGTAACATATTGATAGTTAGGGAAGAATCATGCAGGCTTTTCTGTATGTCTTCTGCCTCAGTTAATAAGTTAAGATAATTTAGTTTCAAAATATTTAATTCTGAATTGCTCATTAGGTCTACTTCTTTGATGTTTGCTTTTAAAATTGCAGAAGAAAGTTGATAAGCCCTGTTTTCAGGTCATGACAGTTTTTAAAAAATTATTGAAGGTAATACGTGTGATATATGTTTATTAGAAAATATTATCTTATACCAGAATAAGAAGTCTTCAGGAAGTTACTAAAACATTATCACTGTTTTGAATTATTAATGAGCCATCTTTAGTTCATATAATGAATATTCTCACCAAAGCAGTTAAAATTTTCCTTGGCTGTAGATGAAGGAAACATGACTTAAGGCAATTTGTTTATTAAGTAGAGTGGACACCTAATAAATTGATAATATATTAATTTGGATAAAATGGCTATGACCCAGAAAAAGTAATATACATTTGATTATAGAAATACACATAGCATTTGATGTAATAGGTCAGACATGTACTAAAGAGATTAATTTCCTGTTGTCTTTTTTTTTTTTTTTTTGAGACAGAGTCTCGCATTGTCGCCCGGGATGGAGTGCAATGCATGTTTTTTGCTCACTGAAGCCTCCGCCTCCTGGGTTCAAGCGATTCTCCTGCCTTAGCCTCCTGAGTTGCTGGGATTACAGGTGCATGCCACCATGCCTGGCTAATTTTTTGTATTTTTAGTAGAGAGGGGTTTCACCATGTTGGCCAGGCTGGTCTCGAACTTCTGACCTCGTGATCTGCCCACCTTGGCTTCCCAAAGTGCTGG